AGAGGAACTCTCTGATTTCCTGCTCCCGACCGAGTCTGGTCTTTGCGAATGTAAAAGGAACTTGCGGTCTTTCGACTCTCCGAAGCTGAATCCCTCGCTGGATCAACGACCGCGTCGTGAGCGAACGACTCGATTGCTTGGGCATCTGAAACTTTCCGAAGCGGACTCTGTGAACGAAGAGACCATGTATCGAGTCTATTGTCGGAAACCGCTGTTTGCGTGATTCCGACTTCGTCGGATACGACAGAAGCCCGAGCGCGTGATCTCGCGGCGGTGGTGCAACGTCCGGGTCGTTGCTGTCGGAGTCTGATGGTCAGCTCGGCGAGCCTCTTCGCTCTCCCGCTTCGCTACGAGCTCGTCGCCTCGCGTGCCGCCTTCTCTGCGCCCCCGCCGGAGGAATCCAATTATTAGCTGAATCAGGACCGCCACGGCCGCAACCACCACCGCAGCTACGAGAACAACGTCGACGTCGACTAATGCTGCTGCCACCGCTATGGTGACCTTGAGTGAGCAGTTCATATAGAAAGCACAAGCAGCTCGTTTGCGTCTCGCCAATCACTCCTATTCGAGATGCCTACGAATAACCTCGTTCAAGCCGAAGACCAAGCGACTCTTTCCCATTTCGCTCGTAGAACACGTTCCGATCGAGATTACAAGCTGTTGACAGTCTCACCAGGCAGCTGTCAACGATGCTCTCGTCCGTTCATTGGGCTCGGCTTGTGATCAGGTCGTGTTCACTGTTCCGGATTCGGTGGAGCTCCACTTCTCGGAGGCTGCGGAAACGCCTCTGCCTCGGAGCGTTCGCTGGATCCGGGCTCGGGGTCGAAGAACTCGGGGAAGAAGTTTATTGCAAAATAAACTCCAGAGGTCGGGAGCGGCTCCTTTGTTTTTCATCATCGTCGGGATAAACATGGCGATTGCTCCTGTGATTTCGTTTCTCCAGGGAGGAATTCTCTTCCGAGCGTACCCTCCCATCCCGATCACATTTTTATGACAGGCGTTCCGTTTTCTCACGAACGCAATCGTCGACGTGCCCGCAGACTTTTACAATCCTTACGAAAGCGGGGGAGCTTCTCTGAACAGGCAGCGGGCTTCCCGAAGCTGCTCACGGTATCGTTCTGATCGGTTCAGCAGACTTCCCGCGAGACGCAAGCTTGCCTTGCACCGATGTCAGCGGCAAGCACGATTACGTCGCTGCTGTTGTGACAGCAACAAGAGAAAGGAACAGTGATCATTAGTACAGCCCACAAGTGCTCCTCGGATACAGTGACAACGACCGATGCCAGATCAGATAAAGCATTCCTACCAAGACCATAACGATTCGCCGCATAGCACGTGTCGAATAATGGGATAGTCAACATGTCACTAGGTTCGACACGTTGGATTCTTCTGCTCGGAAATCCATTTCCCGAGATACTGCCGGACGACGCGACGAGGAGGCACGAAGGGAGAGCTCGGCTCGTCAGACAAGAAGCTGTCGGCTGCTGGATGGGAGAACGGAAGCCTCAGTGCTGCCTCACTTTGATCTCGCATTGGAGCGATACAGCAATCGGATGTGCTTATAGACGAATCGCTCCCGATGGCGTGCCGAGCCCGATTTAGCTCCGTGTCGCTTCTCGATCCAGGGACCGATGCATTCTCGATAAATATTGTTGCTCACCCATTCCGCCAGCTATCCAACAAACATGTTCCGCGTCTCCCGTGAGGAGTGCCTCCCAAACGCGTCGGTTGCGGCAACTTCGCCGCGAGCTGTTTTGGCTCCCCGGACACGGCTCCCTCCACCCGATACGGGGAAACTCGAGTCTGATCCCTAGCCGGAAGGTTGTCGACTCGATTCTCGACTGCTCTGAAATATCAACCTTGAAGCCGACGGACCCATTCGTAATCCGTGACCGACTGCAGGAAGCCCTCAGAGAGAATCGTGAGCGATTCCGAAAATCGATGATCGTCGATTCGACGAGTCCGGACGAAGGTTCTGCAATTATCGCATCGAGACGCGCTTCCGACTCTAACCGACTACCTGTTGCGAGTTCTTCGACCTACAGCCCCTCCGCTGGTTTCGGGAAGGGGCGGGGGACGGTTTTGCCTCCTAATCGTCAGGGTTTGCTGAAAGATCACTTGCCACGATTCATGCAGTTTCCCCAGGGCTACAGTGCGTTGGCTGATAATTTGCATTTTGACGAGGAATACTCCCCTTCCAGGCACGAAAGCGTATTACGGGGAATGGTTGCGCTAATTCGGCTGTCGTTGCGCTTGACTTCCTTTGACTTGCTCCCCTCGGAGCGGCAGGGGAGACTTCATCTGAAGCAGACACCGTATCTGAGTAGAGCGGACACCGAGCGGGGAGCTGGGACGGGCTCCCCGCCGGATCCGTAGGTCCTCGTTCCATTTATAAACCTTCCCTCTGCGGGATAGAATTCCCGCCGCGCGGGGAACATTTGTAGAGGTTTCGGCTCCGATTCGAAATCCGTGTTGGGAACGATTGGAATTTGCGGGCCGTCGAACATCCAGATGCGAGGTCGAGGCAGCCGTCTAGGCAGTGCTGTTCAGAAATGGTCTTCGACCTCATCGTCGAGGGTCCGCTCGGATGCTTGAAGCCAACCGATTTTTTCTCCGACTGATCTAGGATTCGAGAGAGAAGGAGAGGTCGTTTCGAAATCTGTAGACGCGGAATATACGTCGATGTGAGCTTCCGGAGGCTTCACCTATATTTTTATCATCTCCATTCCCTCAAGATATCTCCTGTGGGGGATACTAATGGAGGGATCTCTCTGAGCTGATTCAGCGGAGCGAATTCCTTCGTTTCGAACGCTAATCGGTTTGTCGTCGCTACGAGCTCTTTGAGTCCTCCGTCCGGAACTCAATCAAGTTTCTTCTCCCCGAACCGTGAAATCGCTCTCGTTCCTGCATCATTTTCCCGGATATCGGAGATACGAGTCTGGGCGACGAAAACATGCTGAATCAGAGAGAAAAATCCCACGATTCTGGGAAACAGCACAGGTGCGTCAGTAAAGTAAGTGCCAGCGGCTGCTGGCTAAGAGAATATTCGCGATCTATCGTTTGTCTCGGACAAGGAGGCTTCTTCCCATTGGCCGAAGGTGGATTCCCGAAAGTCCGAGTGAGACTCATGTGCCATTTTTTAATAAGTGAAAGTAGCGAGCAGATTCAATCGAGCGAGTCTTCAAAATACGAAAACTACCTGGACGGTTTTTCCGCATGACCTTTCGGGGGAATGTCTGCAGAAGATCAAGTTTTGGACCAATTCTTTGTATCGTGCACCGCACTGAGTGAGGAGAAGTGCATTCTGGACGGCCTTCAACAAAATCTCCGATTCTTGCCATAAACGATACTCCGGTCTCTCCGTGTCGGTTTTTACCGCTCGTTTACCGGCGAACTCTCGGCCCGAGAGTCTCGCCGAGTTTCCGTGCTCTCCTCCGGGCCGGTGACCTCTCTAATTCCATGATCGAGTTGACTCATGTCCGCCAACAGACTCTCAGCTCTCAAGCTCTGCAACTCTCTTCCTCCAAGGTGACAACAAAGGGAGCAATTGTGCAGCGGAATTCTACCCTAGAGCGAGATAAAAATCGACGCCCGTCTCTCCCACTCATTCTGGAATGACCTACCCGTGCGGGAACTCCAATTATTTCCCCCGACATCGGGGCCATTGGTGAGTGCAAGTGGGAGTCGTGTTGGCTCTCGAGCCTCATGGAGCGGAAAACAGATTGAGATGACGGGCCTACTCTCCTCTGGTTCGTGAGGACTTCCGTCCGCGTTTTCGGAGACGAACATATTCCTGTCTGAGGTCGGGCTCGGAGAAATCAGTCGCCGAGTCATTGACTTATCGAATGGGAACAGTCCGGGAGCCTTCTGCTCTCAGACTGGCCCCAGGTGTCATGCCACAATGCTCGAATGATGTCGCCGGCCGCTCCACCGTTCTCGAACTGACCTGGAGAGGTCTGCCAATGTATCACGGTAATACTATTACCCCATCGACTCACCCAAGGTAGGACCATGGTAGACGCACGATCGGTACAGTGATTATCGAGTCGCTTGACAGTGGCTTATGGTTGAGGCAGTTCCATGGGCGCTGCTCTCCTCGAGCGCGAGAAGTCTCATGACGTTGGAGCCGTGGGGCAAAACAGATTTGAGGCATTCGTTCAACGGTAAACTTCCTTGAACACTTCAGAGCCAAGGGCTCTGAAATCTCCGTCGAGTGTTCCCTCCCATCGAGACTTATTGCCCGCCGACATCTGGTTCGAGCTCCTGGTATTGAAGTCAAAAGCCTTGATACGATAGTGAGTCATGTTCTCGCATACCGATGAAGTTTGCTGCTGATGATCCAAAACCCGGAGCAGCTACGAATTACATACTTCAGCAATGTGTCTCCTCCCGAATATTAGGTGGGATCTTTCCCTGGGGTCTCTGAACTTCCTCTAACTTCCCTTGTAAGGTTCACCTCTCAGAGAACGGCGATTCACTGAATCAAGTTCAATTTATTCATATCTCTACCATCTTCATTGGATAGGGAGGCGTGTTCGTCTCGATCGAGCTATATCGTCAACGGGGCATTAGTGACGATAACGAAAAAATGTACGATATAGACTCCAACTATCGCTCTCCGGCTTTCAGTCAGCAACACACCCTCTCTGTCCTCAATTTCCAGTGCATATAACTTTCGTGATGAGTCTGATTCGAGACTAAGAATCAAAACGTCGACGCTGTGGAGTGATTTTGCATCGCCTCCCACTCTTCCGACTGCTTTGCTTATTTTTTCCCCAAGCGACGCGGAAACAAGAGCGCCCCCCTTCTGCTTCGACTCATTACTATTGGAACCCTCATGACTCAATACTCCTTGTCGCGTTGATTGTTCGGCTTTCAATTCCTTCTCCTTGTGATGCGCGACGTTGGTGGCGAGATACGGTTGCGGGAGTCCCCGAACGCCTTCGGTGCTTCTATGATACATTCATTTGTACAGCTGATTTGGTCTGGCTCAGCGGAGTCTATTTGGAAATGTATACCACACTCGCTTTTCGTTTCTTGTAAAAGTCGACGACGCTCCAAAGCGGACGGAACCACTGCTCGGGCTTCTGGGGGGATCTGAATGACTGATTAGAAGTAAACACTTGACAGACGCGGGACAAACAAGGAGCTTCCGGGACGACTCGAGAAGCGCTATATATCAGCAGCATAGGCTCGATAATGTGATGTGAGCATTGCATTACCTCAGAGTCCTGTGCAGAGTCATCATCCGTTCGATCCAGGATCTATAGTAAGAAATGTTCATGTAAACGCCCGGCAGGTTGGGCTCTGCGCACCGGATGCCGTGCGAAACTGTTCCTGCGAGCACCCATTGACCGTTGGGTCGCTGTACCGAAAGGGGTCCTCCTGTGAATTTCGGAAAGAGCGAAAAGATTAGGTTTCGCCATCTCGAATATGTCCCGACGCTATTCATATTCTTCCCCTCGTAGGACGCTTCTGCGCCTGGGAGAAAATACCAGCAGAAACAGGTAGACGACGGTCAAGGTTCCAGCTGACATTTTCTCCCTGGTCTCCAATAACGGATAGCTTTTACTGAGCAAATCCCACGAGGCAGCCACAACACAAATACTAAATCGCCGTCTGAGGGGTCTGTCAGATGCCTCAGCTAATAGGTTGTCAGTAGTCGGTACGCTTCATTGGACGGCTGACCGCCCGGTGACCGACTAGCGCTCGGTGAGCTTGCCTAGCTTAGAAGACAAACTCCAGCTTCAGGGAAGGAGTCGATCGAGTCCGACTTTCTTGCTGCTGCTGCTGCCGCCGCCACCGCTGCCTCCTGCCGCGGCTAAAAATACAAGTGAGAGCGAAGCAACATTCTGCGCATCGCTCAGGTCTTCGCTACAACTCCGTGAGGCAACCATATGTTTTTAATTAGTTTCTATGGAGCGGCCTGTAAGCAGCCGAATTGGGGCTTCCCGACCGATAATAATAATGATCGACGTCCATGAATTATCTCGAATATCAAATGAGGAATCCCCCGGTGGAGTTCGGCTCTTTTCCGACGCCGAATACGTATTCGAGGGAACGAGAGAGGGGCATAGGGGCAAATCGTCGAGCAGCCGCTCGCTTTCTCTCTATCTCGAACCTCATTCATATTCGGCTGGCATTTTCAATTTCTCCAAATCTGCAGCAGCAAAGTTGAAAGAAGTCTTAGCGCTGAGCATACGGAGCGGAAAAAAAGAACCGGAGCTCGGGAGGAGAGATCCCTCCAGCAAACGTAAGAAGGAGGCAGAGGGCGACTCGTATCGACTTCACCTGAGGACGGCGTCAAAGCTCTGGGACGGAGCAAAAAGCCTGGGATCGCCTTGAATTTTCCCTCTAGCAATCTTTGGGAGAACACCATCTCCTATTGAGTCAGCAGATGGATTCTTGCAAGGAGCGTTGCGGAATCTTTCGAAGCGACTTCGAGAATGTCGAAAATCTCGAAGCTTCGACCGATCCGCGAACACTGAGGATCTTGGCGTCGACGGAACACAAGGCTCTTACAAAACAGCAGCTGACACGTCGAAGACCAGAAGAAGTCGACGAAGTGACTGGCCCGGATCGAAATTCCGGATTGGCCTCATAGCTTCGGAGAATTCGTCGAGTGTGAACCCCCCGCTTCCGAGAGAGTGTACTAACCTGAATCACCCTCGCAAGCATCGAGTTGACCTCCTTCATACCCAGCACACAGGAAATAGTCATGGATCTTCTTGACGTGCCCGCTCTTCATGAACATTTGTTGACAATTCTCACGAGCTATGATCGGGAGCTTGACATTCTGTGGAATGAATGATTCGAATGATTGAAACCCCGGATCACTACCTCAGCTACGAAAAAAAAACGATAGAGAGTCGACAGCAATCGTACGCGGGAGAATCAATATGAACAGGTTCAAGACGCGATTCCGAGGAAATCCGAGACGGTACGAATGAACTAGTTTAACTCGCTAGAATGGAAAACCCCTTGAGACGAACATTCCAGCGGTGGAAAATTCCCGTGACTGTTCCTTTCCCCCGAGGAATCATTCGCCGCCAAGAAACGAGCCCACACCGCTCACCTGGAGTACTTTCGGAAGTCCACCCTTATGAGCGAGTTTGCCCCATCCGGTCACGTAGCCGCTCCGCCCGACGAACTCCTCATCCAGATCTGCAAAACGAATTGAATCCGTATGCAACTAGCTGTGAATTCCGCGATCGCCAACGCAACCGAGTTTTTCCCTTCCACGAGATGAGAAGTCCGCGAGTGAGAAGCGAATCGAGGCAATGGACTGAATCCAGGGAGCGTTCCCAGAGTCGAATGAGCGATTCGAGATCGGTTCGCTGGAATTGACGCGAGCAAGGAGCGATGGGGGCGGGGGGAAGAGAGGGTACTCACCTGGTAAACATATGGGTACAATCTTCGAGCTGAAGTCGACGGGATACTTGAGTTCGAGAACAGCGAGATCGTTGTCGAAGTCAGCCTCGTTGAAGTGCTTGTGGACTATCATCCGCGTCACCGGGATGGTTTGTAGGTTCTGCAAGTCAAAGAATATGCATCAAAGGCGTACGGCGCCTCGACGGTTGCAGCCCTCGGTGACGAGGACCGATCCAGAGATGAGTGGCTGGCTCAGAATAAAAAATGGAAGGCAATCACGACCCGTTGTCGTGAGCTCTCTCAAGGGACTCAGAGCACAGTCGCGGCGCATTCTAGAGTGCTCTTGGATAGTTACCTTTTCGTGGAGTCTATGCTGTCCCAAGATCACCACGAGGGTGCTGAGGAAGGCTCGAGGTTTGCAGTGAGCCGCCGTGAGAACATGTCGCTCTGAGATCAGGACGCCTCCACATTTGTAGTCGGCGATAGTACCCAGATATTTGACTTCCTTCACTATGACCTGCAAGCAGAAGATCAATCCGCATCATTGGCTGTTTTTCTCTACGAAAACGAACGAACAGCCAGACAGCGGGAATGACAATCTAGTGCGCCAGCTCTCCGTTCGACAACTTATCACCGATTCTCCGAAATCGGGGGCATGCAGAGACGACTCTGCTGCTACTGCCAGTCCTCGGAACGGTAGAGCCAGAGCGCTGGTCCCGGCTCGAGTCTCGAGTTCCAGGACACTGTGTGCGACGGAAGGAGGCCAGCTGCTCGGGATATGGATTTCCCGCATCGATTTTTCCGTGGTCAGGAATTACTTCGATACATTTCCAGAGGCATTTATCCATTATCCACACAATCAGCTCCCCGCTCTCGTTGAGCGGGAAATGCGGAACCGAGCCTCGGACATGGGGGATCTGTGCACGTTCACACGGAACGTGTACCCGCCGATTCGATCCGCCATCCTTCTCCGTCTCGAATATCTGAGCAATCAAGCAGAAATGAGAAAAGAAAGGGCTTCAGACTCTCAACGAGTCATGCGAGAAAACCAGACGTCAGACAGCCTGGTTCCGCAAAAGCTTCGCGTGCGAGTTTGCGATCGAGCGTGCACGGATACATGATGGTACGGCCAAGCCGTTTTCTGGGAATACGTTGTCACGTAATTCTCATTCGCCAGCATGTGAATAAGCATGTGTACCTACGCTCCCGACCTAGGTGCTCCTTTACGCACTTTCGCGTGCTCAGCAGATTTTCTCATCGAGCGCAGAGCTCGGGAGCCATTCACGTGCGGAGAGTCATCTCTCCCGCCTACGTAAGCACTACAGGCCAATGGTGGATTCGATGGAATTGTGTCTGGCGGGGTGAGTGCGAGGATTCGTTTCTGTTCGGATTCTCGGACTTGCGCGTATTGAATACGGATCGACAAGCAGCTCGGGTCGGACGTTAGCTATTGAATTTCGGAGAGACGAAGCCAAGCGCCACACCCCTGACTAAGCTTGCGGGATTGTGGGGGTGGTTCTCAGAGAGTTTATCAGCTGCGTCTCTCCAGGAAAGAGTTGAATGGGCTCGGATGACTCGTGTCATTCCTCGAGCGCAAGAACAACGGTGAGAACTACCCGAGTGCTCCGGCGCCTCGATTGGTCTCGACGGGACAACCAAGAACCAGAACTATTCCGCTAGCGCTGTATCAAAATCTAGCGAGCGTCATTATCCATTGCTAAAGCGATCCCGGCCAGATCGGTATACCGCTCAAGTTTCGTCCATTGAATTTGCAATTCCCGGACTCGGTCGGTGTCCGAATGCGGAACTCGTTCTCTTTGCTCATCATTGCAGGCGGAACAACGGTGACGGTAGATTACGGTCTCTTGAAGCATGCTGTCGAATCATTCGGAACTGGTTCATGTTTTCTGGTGAACTTTCACTGACCGTTCTACACAGAGAAGGCGACACAGTTTTCCCGCCACGACCGTTGCCGACGGTGTCGATGGAGCCGTCGCTGGTTTTGGTGTTGCCTCTATTTTTCTATCTACTTCTCCTTCAATAACGGCGGCTGCTGCTCGCAGCACCGATATTTGTGACACGGTCTTCAGCGCCTCTGGCAATGAGTGACGTGGCATCCAGCATTTCTCAGGATCTCTCGCACTGAGAAAGGCTTCCCCGCGAGACCGGTTTCGACACTCCCAATGCCACCTCCGAGACTTTGTTACGCGCGGACAGTGAACTCTGAGCCTCAAAGCGCTGCATGACGACGTTTATCAGCTGTCCGTGGGATACCGCTGTGGAGCGGAGCTTGTTGTGGTCCTCGCCCCGTGTCGAGCGAGGGGTCGAATCGGTTACGAGCCGGAACTGACACGGATTTGGCAGTCGAGACAGGAGCACACTCCGGGGAAATATTCATCAAAGAGGCGTGGGACTCGGTCCCCGACGATTGGGCTCATCGAGGAATGACTTTCATCCTCGAGGAACTCCTCCAGAAATTTCCGCTCGATTGAGCGGCATCGAGCGGCAGAATATGGATGACGCTGACAAGCAGCCGTCATAATCGACAAGATTGGCCGAAGATCCGCCGAACGGTCATAAAATAACGCTCCCCGATAAGTTTTTCTCACCTGCCACGGCCATTCGCCTTCGGTGGCCGAGCTTCCCCCAACAATGCGCTTGATTCTATTCCTCGATTTGTGATGCATGGGCCGGATTCCGCATTTGTGATCTGAGTTGAAATCATTGAACTTCGAGTCAACAGTTGTTTTGAAACGAGCGGATGTGGTCAACGGGACCTCTGTCACGGTATCCCGTTTAGTCACTTCAACGAGGACTGTCGTCGGCTCGTCGAAAGCCGGGCTCGCTGTGGTGCTGCTACCGCTGCTGGAAGAAGACTCCTGCAAGTCACATAAATTCCTTAGAGCGCGTTCCCCTACGGCGAATTCGGGCGCCGAGCCTGTGATTATTATCAAGAGAGTCGCCGGAGCTCGCCACGAATTTACCTGCTCTTCTCGATGCGTTGTGCTGATGGCCTCAGTGGCTGACTTTTCTGTGGTGGTGGTCGTCGTCGTCTCTTCCAGTTCCGAACCACTCATAATTTCTGTACTGTTGATCGGTGCGATGTCGGGTTGAGGGACAGTTGATGAGATCATGGTGTCATTGAGTACGATCGGAGCGGATGGAGTTGTCGTTCTCGATTTCGATATCCGCACCTCTAATGTATCGGAGAGAACTATTTGGAGACACACCAGTGATACGACGCAGCCACCGAATCGCATGATGAGTTTCCAAGAAAGTATCTGAAGCGGAAGAAAATATATCCAACGTTTCATTGTGATTCCGGAGATCTATTCCGGAGTTCGGGGGACCGGGAGTGAGAGTCCGAGTCTAACAGACTCGTGGAGCAGCAGAAAAGAAAAAATGCCAAAAGTAGTCAGATGCTCCGGTCGCGAGGGAGCAGCAGATTCGGTTCTTTTGCGGACCATCGGTCTGATGCTATCGCCGGACAGTTCCTGGGCTTCGGGAGCTTGATCGAAACCGCTCCAACGGCTGCAGGTGGAGCTTTTCAACGTGCTCTCGATACATAGTTATCGAACCTTCGCAGGCCAACAAATGGCGTACCAGGGCGGTGCAGATAAAAACCGAATTTTCCCAATCATCCTACTGTTGTGCTGTTACTGACCATAGAAAGCCTAGGAAGTCGACCTCTTCCACACCTGCAGCACCTTCTCACGACGGTAAAGCTGCCAGGGGCTAGAAATTCACCGCCTTGGCACGACATCCCGTAAGCTGGGTGGTTTCCGCACTTGAGTTTGTGATGCCGCGCCGTCATTCATATCTACAGCAGGTGCCGCAATCGATTGGCAAACATCTGCATCCAGATCTTTCACAGAGCCCGTTGTGGCCGAATGTCTCAAGCTCGCGTCTCCGTGGCGGGCTGGCGGATGCTACGCTTGTCGCCTGCGTGCGCAAATCAGGCAGGTGGTTGTCAGTTTTCCGCGCGGAGCGATCGCATTCGATGCAGGTGTAGCGGCGGACACCCAAACACGTAACAAGGCAGTGGCAACGAGACTTAGCATCGGTCTGGGGAATCGATCCGATGAAAGTTGATGAAAACGAGTGGTAAATATTAAAATTCAGAACTCTTGACCTACTGACCGGGTTGGCCGATTGGAAATATCCCAATAAACTCCTGTTGGCGAATTATGCGAGCGATGGAACACACAGAGTGTCTCGGGCTTCGAGACCCTGCGAATAAGCCGGAGCCCTGAGGATTGGGATTGAAACTCGCGCTTGATCCTTCAATCTAGAGCAGTGCAGAAGCCATCATCCGCAAGAAATAGGCTGGGCTATGGATCGGAGCGGTAGTGCTCGAGTACGAAAAGTCCGAATGGTCGTCACCTGATGAATTACTTCCCAATCGACCGGAAACGCCCGGGATTGAATCTTCCGGGTCCCTGGACTCCCAGACCACGGAGGCCAGACTTCCTAGTTAAACCACTGATAATTAAAGCCGACAGAAGGAAACGATTTTCTGTTCTGGGTCGCAGAAGTACCTTCGGAACCATTGGATCGAAAATCGGAGTATCGGATTTCGGACACGGATCCGGCAATCCACCGGCGAAGCATCAAAAATTTGACAGCTGGGTCCCGGATCACCGCCTCGGCAACGTTCAAGACTTTCTCACGTTTTACTTTCTCTTCTCAACGCTCTCGTTCACCACGTGCCGGAATTATACGGGAAGTGCATAGCGTCACGTGAACTTCGTCAAATGAAATCGATTGGGCGTTCCGATCGCGCATTTATGGAGCGAAAATTCCCGCCTTTTTCCTGACGGAATCGAATCGTGTTCTTCGGCATCGAACGCAGTTCCGTCAAGGGTTGCCCTTTCGGCCAACTGTTGATGTTTCCTCTCCTTGTGCCCGGAGAGCACGCCCTTCGTACCCGAAACTGAATGAGTTTCTCCTATTCATCTCTGCGCTTTCTGCTATACATCCTCCTTGATGCTCCCGAAAAGGACAGACTCGGCAGTCAGTTGAATTGCCTTCCACTCAGCCCCCTTAGACAAACCCGGGCGGGGCTCAAATCGATTCCATGTACAAGCGGGCCGTAGCCTGCAAGAGCTAAACGACCCGGAATATTTTTCAGAATTCCCATCTATGCAATATTTCTTGTTGGTTCCACTGTTGCCGATCGTGAGGATGATCAGACCGCTTTCCAGATGGCGTTTCTACGGTCGCGCCGGGGATCATTCTGGATTCCGACTGAACCAGCTGATTGAACCAGTTCAGAATCGTGTTCCAGACGAAATCGCGCGTTCAGCGCTCCAGGCCCTCCCCGGCATCGGGTTTGGATCCGCATTTAGAGTCGCCGATTTTTCCCGGTTATCTGAGTTTCAATTCGAGAATCTTATCAAGCGTTCGGATCTGCACTCCTCGGAGCCTCCGATGTGGCTCCGGTCAGAAATACGATGTCTCTTTGAACTCCGGTTCAATAAGAATTGAAGAGAGCGCGGGTACTGGAGTTCGAAATCCATATATTTTCGATCGCAGAGAGCCGAACGATCCCCGACTTTGACAGCGTCAATCACCACCCAGAAACAGCTGATCCAGCAGGCGGGCGGCCGGCGGCACAGTGGAGAACGGGAGAGGTTAACGGCTTGGCGGGCCGGCAAAAATATCTCACGTGTTTGCCTCCATTACTGAGCCCGGTAGCTGTGTGACATGTTTTCCCCTCGCTTGCTCGCGTTATATGCCGACAAAGTTTCCTCGCCCGTTACTCTAGTCGCTTTCCCTCCTCCGTGGGGACCTTTTCCGAGTCAAGATAAGCTCGCTCGACCCCGGTCCCGTCCTTCAGGGTGGATTCTCTGATCGATAACTTGCAGCGGACTCACCTCCTACAAATACAACAAACTGCGGGTTTTCCTCCGTCGGCACAAATCGTAAATCCTCGACAGTTAGCACAAAATAAAAACTCGATCCAGCCGCTTCCCTTCGTTGAGTCGAATATATTCAGACCATGGGATATCGACGTGAAGGCACGGAACGTCGACCTCGCATACACGCTCATAAACTGGAGGGTTATAATTTCGTGCAACGCCAGCGCTGGCGGTCGAGCCCCGTGTGATGTCGGGGAATCAGCGCGGCGCGACTTGGAGCCGGGTTCGCTTTCCTTCCTTCCTTCATTCGCTCGTTCGCCGCTTCATTCGAAAACCGTGGAGAGGGACCGGCAAGAGAGGAGGCCCTGGATTAACTCATGCCTCCATCATCATCGACAACTCCGAAAGCATGCTCGGCTGTTCGTTTATCTGACGTTTCGAGTCGATGAACCTTTTTGATCTTAAGTTCCGCGCGAGACAGCCTAAGCCTATTATCTGGATCGAATTCTTCTGCAGCTTCTCGGACACTATCTTCGGTCAATCTCGTGTCTTGGGGAACTCATGCCGAACCTTCCCGAAAAAGCTCATCTGATCCGATCAAAGAGGGCGGCCACGGATTTCGAGAACGAACAAATAGCGGGACAGAGAGAACTCAGCCCCCGTTTTTATTTTGACGTAACGACATCTTTCCACATACTGAACCCCCGACTCTTGCGACTCGCACCGATGCTGAGGCTCGAAAAATCATTGGTACACACTTCGGAATAATCACCGAGTTTAACAATATCCACGGATCAGGAGCGGCAGGGGACCTGTAGCTAGGAATCAGGAAGGGAACGACTGGGAAAATTTATAAAAGTTGCCTTCATGAAAACTGTACCGAGTAACCTCGCTCTTTCTACCGAAAATAAGCTTGAATTCCATAAGTCCTACCTTTCGACGCACCTAGGCTCAGAGATTCGAGCAGGGCATGGGAACGAAAGGATTCAGGAGAGTAGTTGTCGAGGACGGGCCTGGCGTGAGATTGCAGGAACAGACCGCAGAGTAGAATTGGTACAGCGTTATAATTGGTTTAGTTGGGATTTTTTTTCTCCTGGGACACACCACCGCCCGGGGCTTTTTGAGGAGGCTCCACGTTCTCGTTGTCTCTGGTCCGGGACTCGGTCGCCTGCAGGTCATTAGTACGCAGGCAGTCCCTGTGTTCGGGTCCCGCTCTCTCGACCACGTGATCGAATGAAAACCTCTTCGACCAGACTCCTCTTTTCAGAGCAGATTACTTTCCTATCAGAACACGGACGGGTCAGCCCGACCGAACTGACTGGAGCTCGACGACTATTCGATCTGATGACCACTCGTGAGTGGCATTTAACGACGCCGGTCGATGGGTCGTTAATTAGGGATAGAATGACTATGACACCGAACGAACGAGTGGGTATACCCAGGAGAGAATTCGACAGGTCAATCCTGCGCAGAGTCGTTCGGGAGACGCTTTCTGTACTCAATGCTGCCGGAACTCACCACCGAGACCGAGAAGAAATGAACTCGCATACAATAATTTCCGACCAGAACCGAATTTCCCGTCGGTCAGCATCGAGTGATCCGCGCGAAAGCTCCATTGAAGCGTTTGGCTTTCGTAGATATCGTTGACCGACTGCGCGCGTGATATTCGGTTTCGATATCGGATTCATTCTCCCGATTCTAGAGCCCCAAAAAGTAGCGAACATTAGTCGAGGCGCCAGCTACCGGTGGAAGCGTCACTCTTTTTTCGGCATTGTTGTGGTCGTTGTTGGTGTCCATTGAATCGATTGTTGTCAGTTCTGATTCCTCGATGGGGTCACAATCCAGCTCCGAGGGAAAATTGGCGCCGCGCCCGCTACCGCCACCGGATTGGAATTCATTCAATTTCCTGTAGAGTCGTTTCTTCCGTATCGGAAGTGGTTTCAAAGCACGACCCGAGGCTTCGACTATTTGGATTCTCTCGTCGCTGCGTTTGAGTTCGGGAGCTCCCACAGGGGCAAAAGACCGCGGAACCGGTACAAAGTCTGCGTTTATGTCGATATGTTTAGAATCCAATGCTCCAATTTAGAAAAAGAGCCCCGGGCCATCGCACGCAACCACACGAACGTTACGCAGCATGCGAGTCTCTTCTGTGACGAATTTGGTTATCCACTAGATCATCCGTTCGCTCATAGCAGGGCTTTCCCCCCTGACATTTTTTCCCCGGTGCTTGTCAGCTCCGAAGGCCCGATGCTTCTCGAGAGTTCGGAATTTCTCCGCACTCGTGAGAAATTCCGAGATTCCGACGCGGGGTTGGTCAATCTCGCGACGCTCTGTTTACCGGATCCGTTTTCGCGGTCTCGTAGAGCAGTCCACGGAGATCTCCACGAGAAGCATCCAAGAAGTTTTCTTGATGATGTACAAAGCCGTGGATGGAGACGATTAAAGAGGACTGCGGGCGACCGCTGGAGCGTAAGTAGAGACAGGCACCGCTGCGGAGACCAGCGATGATGTCTGAGGGCCTCGAGTCGCTGCGGGAGTTGCTTCATAGCCTGCAGGCCTGCTCTGAGTGAGAGGTGTGTCCTCATATGCTTTTCTTATAGTACACCGGCAACAGATCCAGCCGCAGCGGTGGCGACGGAATCTCATATGCATTCAAATCAACGTGCGCGACAGACGAGGGATCCCGTTCCCCGCAGCTTGGTTCTCCCGTTCGTTTGATCAAACACAAAGACGTTCGACTCCGTATGCATTGAGTATTCTCGGAGCGAAAAGATTGTTCCCACTGTCCTGGAGAGGGACGCAACATACGCGGAGCTCGGACGGGAGCGATACAAGGAAAGCTAACCTTGCAAAACGAAACAAGAAGTGTTACGGTGAGAGTCTAAGACGAGGGGCAATTTCCATAAGAGCTCTCGAGGGGACTCCACGCTGATCATCATCAGCGTTCCGTGTCAATTTCCTCTCAAGCAACGACATAATATGTACATCGAAAACAGGATCTCTCTTCTGAACCGCGTCTGGTGATCTATAATTCCATTATTGCGAGATCTTCTGAGACTTTAGAGCGGGCAAAAGAGAGTACGGCACTGGATGCGCCAGCTCGAGCTGTAACTTCTTGCTTCAGGAATTCGCTCGGCCGATCGCCGTGTCTGTCCTCCCCGAAGGTCAGACAAGGCCGACGGTATGCCGGAGTATGAGGCGAACGACGGTCGCCCGCCGCGTATCTGAGCCCGACCGATGAGAAAGCGCTGAACCCCTGAAAAATAAATTCCAAATCCGTCCTCATCCATGTCTCGGAGGAAAACTTCTCCTCCTGAGTCTGATCCTCCGGATGCGCTAGGAATCGAATCTGGGCGGAGGAGAAAGCTCGAGACGAATCTCTAAGCGGAAAATTTGTTCGTTTCAGAGTGTGACCGAATGTTCATCAGCACTCCTGAAGGGGCTCGCAACGGGACATTTTCCGCGCCGCACATGGACATCGCTCCTCGTAAGTCTGGGTCGCCGAATAGATCGAAACATAAACTTTCACGGATCCGGACGTGATGGATCGGAACGTAGGCTTTCCGGATTTAGAACGAGGCAGGAATGGTGACGCGGGAGTCCTCCACAGGTGGCGCAGGAAACAGATCACCAGTCCGTCAATGCTTATACACTTTCATCGCTCAACCTGGAGAACGGGTCGACGTCACGTTCACCACTTTCCGCGTACGAGGCACGCCACCCGAGTAAGTTGATTCGCATAAGAATGCACGATGACATCTTCGTTCGCAGGTCTCCTATGAGTTGCCATTGCCAGTCGACTGGATTTCGGAGAGGCTCCTCGTTCGGAGACCGCTTCCTGGTGGAAAGATTGGCAGGATTTCTCAGCGACGAGCTGGAACTGGGAATCTATCGGACCGGGCTAGATTAGACATGGAGGAATTCTGGATGAAGGAATCGGCGGCAGGAGAGCGTTCAGCGCACAGAGGGGAATCAGAAGTTTGTTTCGCCTCTTTGACACCGACACCAAAAGGCAGGGTAGTGACCGTCGGTATAATGGCGCTTTTAATCGACGGCATTGTTTGCCACTGTTCATTCAACGCGTTGTTAGTTGTTACCGTTTTAGTATCAAGACGAAGCCTGACCGAGCACCGAGGGCAATGTCCCCCACGAAGTACATCGAGATCATGGAGCAGATATGGATGCACAGCGAGCTCATCAGAGAAAGAGACTTTGGACGCGTGAATATTCTCAGTGCTCAGAGATGAAAAATCAGCGGGGAATCCCCCGGCATAACGGACCAAAACTCGAGAGGATCTATGTTTATTTTCAAATACGGAAAATGGGAGGGAAAAAATGCTTGCGCGGTCGGGACCCGCATTCGCGGAGTTCTGTTCCGCTCCTCCAAGCGCGATCCGGACAGAGCTCGTCTAGAGGTAGCAGAATATCATTGCTGATATATGTACAAACCTACATATACCTGTATATGTCTGACAAGAGCTCGGAAAACAGTTACGGGAGGAACGTAATACTCATCGTAGAGAAATAGAATCCGTCGAGCAACCCGCATGTCCCTTATACGCGTGTCCGATCAGTCAAGAGCCATCCGTTGCCTAGACCACAGAGACGAAATAATGCTCCCCTATTTTCATGGACATTTCCTCAGAACGACGCTTCGGAGCTGGTCCAGTGACACTCTGTTCCGTGGAGCTCACCACGGCAGCTACGTCGACGCCCCCTTTTGTTCGTCACTTCTAAAAATAGGATCATCTCTTCGAGAAGCTCCTCGGGGAACGCATTTGAGCAGGCCTACTGGCGCAGAGAGGGATGTATCGACTCCGCCATTTGCGAGTTTATGACATTCCTTCCGTCGGACTCGGGATGCTCTTTGCGCCAACAGGCTCTAACTTGGGACGCACGTAGGGCAGATATTAGCTTGTGGGGACACGATATCCGGACGGCGGGAAATAGTTGCATGTGCCGAATGTTCATTTTTTTGTTTTGTTGTTTTTCCGCACATTCATGTTTCATGTTTTTCCGCACATTCATGGAGCCACACCGCACTGGGAGCTCTCTAAGTGCCTTAGTTTTGAAGAAATATCTTGGCCATCAGGAGCCGCCCTGATTGTCCCTCAGCTCGGAATCCAAGCCGCTCATTTCGGAGGGATCCCAAGGACCGGAATGCATCGATAAGGCGAATTGAAAACGGCGAACTAGATACGAACCTCTATTTCCGAATGCTTCATGTCTCTAGATAGCTTCCCCGGAATCCATCGGTCTGAGAATTTTGGCGGGATGGAGGGATGGCTATGTATCTTCATGTGACAGGATCTTTAGGGCCCGGAGGTGGAGCAGTGACGGCTCGGCAGTACGCGGGAGTCCTGCACATCGGGACCTGCCACACCTCTCTCCTGGGCCTCTCCGCTCCAATCATTTCGCCTCCCGCAGCCGCAAATGCGCGTATGATGCGTCTTACGCTCCGACAACTTATACAGCATTACTAACTCTAGCGAAAATCGGTCTCGGCCGACGAATGAAGCCGACCGCGGAGAAACTGCCGACTCGATCATTAGCGCCGGTATCTGATACCACAAATAATGATGAATCTCCGTCCAAGAAACCGTTGAGGAGATGCGCGCGGTCTTCAGCATTTACCTCGGACCGATCCAATCTAAGTGAGACTCAATGGTGTTCCAGGTGTAATCACGAATATCTCGACATCTATAGCGAAGTACAAGACCCCGCAGCGGATTTGATCGAGTCACCTTTCGGTGGTCGGTTTTGCGGAAGAATCTACCCCCGTCGGAGAATTTCCGTTTACAGGTAAGCATTGCGGCGTTTCTGAGCGTTTGTTCGTCGTAGTGTCACGTGAGAAGTTCCCGCAACATTCCATTCTCGATTTGTTCTCTGAAGACGTGACCATCTTGAGAAACTCCATTCGGGTTTTGCCGAGCACTCCAGCTTACCCTGAACGTTTCTCCATCCATGTTGCCGAATGAAAATTATCGCCGCGAGACCTGCCAAATCTTCGAAGGATGTCAATTTTGGGATTCTTGGAATGAGAAGAACTTCTCGATAGTCTGTCGGTGGAAAGCTCAGAGAGTAAAACTCGTTGTTCCATGGATCTGGAGATGTGTTTCGAGTTGGACCCAGATCTAGAATCGTTTTCCAGCCACGAGGTTTGCGCAGCACTGGTCTATACGCTCACCGAGCTCGCTATGCGGATAGGCCGAGGGGCGACAATAAGCTATTCGGTCGGATTTGAATAAATCAACCCCCGTAATAGAGGAATCTGGCGAACCGAATATCTATTCGCAATAAATTTTGTGCGCGCGGAAGAGGGGGTCATTGGCCCTGTATTCAGCTCAAATATATCCCGAGGAGCAAAGACGTCGGAATTTCGCGGGCTAAGCACTCAGCACGCTGATGGAAGCAGCCTACCAGAGTTTAAGCCTCGAAAATGTGGATGCAGGTTCCTTATCCGAGATCTCTTTCCAGGACACTAGTCATCAGTTTCTACACCGATTTCCCAAACGATACAGCCAACGTCTTTCGCGGAACATACGAGTTCATCAATGCTTGTGAGTAGAACTCCGTCTCTCAGAACGGGACTAGTGGCAGTCTTTTCCCTCCTTTCAGGCGGTTCTCGGTGTGTATGACGTGAAACGATCATAATTGATCTGCTAGAAGCTGAAGGATTTCCGAGAAAATGAAGCAGACGTGGAAGAGGACCGCTTGAATAATTCGCTTGATCATGACGAGCGAGCTCTTAACTTGGATCAGAACATTATTGCATGAGGAGGGGCAGATCGATACATTTTGGATCGTTCTCGGGAGAGCTTCGGTCAAATCGAGTCGAATCAATCCGTCGAGGAAGAGCGTGATTCGACGAAAAATTGTCCGACGAAACTTCGTGGGCTCACGATAGACTGCTTGCCCAGGGTCCAAACCCGGGCCGGTCGAGTCGACGTCGTGCTTTTTCCAGTTCAGCGCTTTTTCCTATTAGATCGAATCTTGTCGTTCGGTGTCCGTCTTCTCGATTTATCGGACCGATCGGCTGGCCAATAGTGATCTTCTAGGATTCTCATATATTTTGCCCCCCCCCCCAACTCTTCGCCCCGAAGAAGAAGGGAAAGGGGGAACCTCGGCGACACCATCGCCTGACCGCCGGGGGAGGGGGGGGGATCCGGACTTTCCGGGAAGTCCCCAAGCACCTTCAGAGACGGACGAGTCCACGAGTTTCCGGAAGATGCTAGTGAATTCGGGAATGGGTAGAGGGTACGAGTTTGGCCGATCGACAGGAACTGCTCAAAACGGATCAGTGATCGGGATCATTGGCATTTCAGCACGATTCATCCTGGGAACTCCAGCATCACCCGGTTCAATTTGTTCCTTCAATATTCACGGCTCTCAGAAACGAGAGGGCGACTTCTACTCACCAACATATCCGGGCGTTTACCCCAAAAATCTTGATTGTCAATACAGGTGAGTAGGCATGTCCGTCCGGAGATTTTCCGAAAGTCAAGCGCTCCGAGGAAGATCACGACACGATGATTGTTTCCAGGTTCATTGGAACGAAAGGACAACGGATTCGGCTCGAATTCATGGACTTTGATCTTTCCTTCGGAGGCTCTCATTGTCCATTTGATACGGTGAGCTACAGATTATATATTCAATTTTTCTCTTTCTTCTAGAATCTGAATCCTTCGATGAGTCACTCCCTTGCGGAGGTTTCGTCACTTGTCAGGGCGAAGAAGGAGGGCTGATTAAATGCTTACGAGCCGCCCACCTGATTCGATCAGAGTGTCCCTCAAAGGACCCAATTGCCCGCATTGGATTGAAATTCGAAGACTCCTCGAGTCCATGTACATCCGCGAAGTAGCTCCAATGATACGGAGCATACTTGTTCACTCCGCGAGATCTCCTTCTAAGATTCTTTCCCGGATAGACGAAATTTGCATTTCAATCGACTTCCGAGTAGAACAGCGCAGCGTTCAAACGCGGGGAAGTTTCGCCGAGAGGGATCTTGACTAGTTGCGATAGCACACTGGGATGAGCTGGAGCAAAAGTTTCGATGGGCGATACGCGGCCGGTATGAAATGATGGAGAGCGCATGACTTCATTCCATTTGCACGATCGCGCTTAAGCGACATGCAGGCGCATTTGTGCACAAGCTTATCATCGTCCGATGTCGAAACTTCCAACGACCCCTGCATCTAACGACACGATAGGCCGCACGGATCGTTTGTCGCGGTCGTCGGCAATCCAACGTTATTCCGCTCTCGGGGACAAGCGTTGTCAGCATTCCATTCCTCCGTCTCACAATCAGCCTCGCGCAGAGGAAAGCAGATATTCGGATCGAATATTGTCCCAGCGAGAGCCAGAGATGACTTTCGCCGGCAATGTCAGATAACTTGTCGCCGCATAGCTCTCGCGGAAGAAGAAGAATCATGGCCGCACGACGGATCTCCCCTCCGCGGAAGCGCGTTAAGACACTCCGGTGAGGTTCTAGTATTGCAGGAGGAGGTACGCCGAATATTCGGTAGTCTCCGGGGAACGATTCATTTGAGTGGAGGCCCCTTTCCACATCTCTTCGTCTTAACAAGGGATATATCCTCCAGCGATTTCGCTTTCGTTACATTCTCCCGTGGAGGGAGCACTAGAGTGAAAGTCACTCGCAATCACACGGGAAAGACATCATTGATCACTTTCTTAGGCCGTCGGATGAGATTTGTTCACACAACCATCCATGCGTCTGAGTCGCTTATCTTTTCCAAATCGAGGCTCATATCCTGTGCCTCATGGATTCCCTTTGCGTAATCCCCGGTACGAAGTGCATTTAAATGGATTTGGCTCTCCGGAGAGACGAGCTCCTGTTCCCGAATACCGCGCATCGTAGATTGAGGCTGGGGTTGCGAAAAGATCGGCAGCCTCGCAAAAAGGTTGCGAAATCCGAGGCGGTGACATCTATCGGGGTTATGACGATGTTTGACGTCTGACGGTGATTTGTCGACGATACAAAACTATCATCGTGCCATACATCCAAGAGCTTTCGAAGCCGGCGAATTCGCGAAGAGTCTCGACAAACTTTGGTTAACAAACAGACAAACTCTGCAAAGAACTTCCTTGCTCGTCGAGTCCTGTCCGGAGGTGTGGAACAACATCCGCAGCGCTGTATTTGCTCGTTGCATCGCATGATCTATAAGTCTCGAATGCTTCAGAGAGACTATCGCGAACGGCCTGGAAAGCGAGCGGCGAAGAGAACGCCCTCATGTGGGAAGGTCTTTCCGGCATTCAGGCACCCATCGATGATCTCCCGAGTCTCACCTCTGGTGAAAGCGTTGGCAGCAGTACGGAATACCTCAATCACCTCCTTTAATGAGTCCCGCATAAATAAAGCTCGCATTCGAAATCTGAACGTTCGATCTAGAGCGAGCTCCATAGAGAATATTTTGGATCATAGGCCGCTTCTCATCAAAATCTCAACATCGTTTGAAGACGACCAGGAGCTGCTCTTGACGGTTTTTTCGTTTTCGTTCCCTCCAGGTAAAAGTTTACGATGGACCGGACGATGGGCCTGGGACTCCTTTGATCGGTACGTTCGACTCAGGAAAGCGAGTGCTTCTAGCAGGGAAGCGAACTCGCCACCGTGCTTTTCCAATGACGCGGATGATTACCGTGTAATTGAATGAGGAATGATTAATAAAATGTTACAGGTACATATTGCGGTCAGCAGCGATCCTTAGAGGTTTTCAGCTCCGCGGAGACTCTATTCGTGCGTTTTCGGACGTTAAAAAGACAGGCCGACTCTCAGAACAGGGGCTTCGCAGGCTGGTTCGAATTCTCTGAAAAGTTCGCCAAATTAGGTGCGTAACCCCGGGGACCGATTCTGCGAGCTCATCGGGACGTTTCTGAATTTTTCGCCCGAGCTTCATCAAACACGCTCCCCAGCTCTGGCCCTAGTCGACTCCCGACTCGGCGCTGGGGCGATAGGGCAGCTTCGTTACGAGCGCAGCCGGATATTCATTTCGCAGCGGGCGACCGTAAGCCGGCGTTGGGAAAAGTGTTGAGATATTAATTCCCCAACCCCTTTGGCTTTTCTCAGATTTCATCAGCGAAAATGGCGAACACATCCGAGGGAGCGGTGAGACTTTGATTCGAGTTAGAAACAGGGAATTCGAGAAGAATTTGATTTAGAAACAGTCCGTAGAATCCTGGAATCCTCCCTGGGAGCCTCGCTCCTCATAAATATTAAGGGCTCGTTGTTTTCAGAGTGCGACCAGAAAATTTTGTCGCGTAAGGAATCGACTGGGACGGTTTACTCACCAAACTGGCCTTTATTGTATACCGCAAGCGTCGTCTGCAAGTATTTCATCTACGGCTTGGAAGACGCCCAACATTTGGAGAAAGTCAGACTAAATTTCGAGAAAGTCGACATCAACGCCTCCGATGCCGAATGTTCCGACGCTTTCGTCAAGGTCTACTTGCAGGTGGGACATAGCGCCTCTATGACTCTATACGGTACCAAACAGCCCACTCCAGCCCCCGCTGTCCCCCACCTCTCCCCCTTCCGCTCCGGAGCAGCTCCCCTCGATAGTCCCACCGGGGCGAGGGTGAGCTGAGGCTACAGCGCCGACTCCCGGGACGTCTGGATTCAAAAGTCCGCTTTCGTGCCCCGGGCCGCTCGGATATGAATTCAGTCTCTCTTCCTGCATTCCAGGGCCAGGAAGAGAGAGGTGAAATGGAATCTTTCGACCATGCGTTCTGCGGGGACACGGTTCCTCCGCCATTAAGAAGCGAAGGTCCTCGACTCATGCTGGTGTTCTCAAGCGCCAACACTCAAGGCCAAGGTTTCAAAGCCACCTACACATTCGAAACTGACTACAAGATTCCCGGTAAGTAGATGGCCGATTTTCTCCACCCCTCCCGTTGAGACATGCGAGCAACCGTCAGAAATATCCCGCGTGCCGGCCCTGACCCGGTGTTGTGGCTGAACACGGACCGGCTGTTGATGAAAGATCCTGCTGACCGGGCGGTTTCCGTTTCTAGGCACTCCGTCACCGGGTAAAGGCTGCTACTTCAGCTACGTCAGTGAAAGTCAACTGAGTGGGGAATTCAATTCTCCGAGGTATCCATCAAACTATCCTTCACGAACAATGTGTGAATATGTCTTCCTCGGAAAGCCTGACGAACAGGTCAAGATCGTGTTCAAGTACTTCAGAACCCGATCCGACTCATCGACCACTCAGTACAAGTAAGCGGCATGAAGTTGAATGCTCAGTTCTGCTGGGATCGAAACTCGACATCGCTTGCGTTATAACGTCTATCGCGGGGGAGTCAGGCAGATGGAGTCGGGAGACGCGTCCCTGGGGATCCGAAAAGGAAAGAAGGAGGTCCTATTTAGGCTCGGAAGTGCCCCGGCGATATCGAGAAGCCAATCAATTCAATCGCCTCGCTACAGGTCTCCATCGATTCCAACTTATAGGACGATCGCTTCCCTGGAACGAAAGGCTTAGAGCGCTCCGTTCTGTTGTCTTTGCAACTTGAGCCGGAATTAGGGCCTCGCGATAAGACGACTCGATCCTAGGAAAGGAGCTCTCCGGGTGAAAGTCCTCAGAGTTGGAGGATTCCCTGGAACCATCGTCCCTCTATTCCTCTGCGAAAACTCGTGCTTCGACGCATGGTTCATTCACGCGCTCTATTCATTTTCGGGATTGCGGAGGCTTTCGTTGTCGAAAGGAATTGAGCCACTTGACGTTGTCGCGAGTCTATCACAACACCGACCCGGCTCATGTTCGTGCGGAAAATTCAAACTCTTGCGGCGCAGCCACTGACGCCGCGCCGCAGTCTCAGGTGACGGTGAATCCGTTGAGGTCAGGGGCGTACGGAGGGGGGGGGCTAAGGGGCTATAGGCCCCTCCCAGATGGTCCCTTCGTAATGCTGTAGTATA